GGATCTACTCTATTAACAACTGTCAAATAGACCATACAATAGTGTGAACTATACTTATCATGTTGTACATTATATCCCTAGTACTTACCTTATACTGGAAGTTGTACCTTTTGATCACCTCCATCCAACTTTCCCCTCCCCCTCCACCCCTGGTAATGACTAATTTGATCTCTTTTTCTATGAATTTGGCTGTTATTGTTGTTTTAGATTCCACATATAAGTGAGATCATGCTGCATTTGTCTTTCTCTGACATTTCACTTAGCATAATGCCTTCAAGGTCATCCATGTTGTTGCAAATGGCAGGATTTCCTTCTTGTTTATGGCTAAATAATATTCCTGTGTGTGTGTGAGCATGTATCACAATTTCATTATCCATTTATCCATTTGTGGACACTTAGGTTGCTTCCATGTCTCGGCTATCGTAAATATTGCTACCATGAACATGGTGATGTAGATATCTCTTCAACATAGTCTTATTTCCTTCGGATATAGTCCCAAAAGTGGAACTGCTGGATCATATGGTAGTTCTGTTCTTATATTTTTTAGGGAGCTCCATACTGTTTTCCACAGTGTACATAACACTTTACAATCCCAACAACAGTGACAAGAGTTCCCTTTTCTCTACATCCTTGCCAGAATTTTTTATCTCTTGTTTTTTTGATGACAGTGAATCTAACAGGCATAAGGTGATATCTTATTGTGGTTTTGATTTGCATTTCCCTGACGTGATTAGTGATGTTGAGCATCTTTTCATGTAGCCATTCATATATCTTCTTTGAAAAAATATCTGTTCAGGTCCTCTGCCCATTTTTTTAGTTGCATTATTTTTTTGCTGTTAAGTTGTATGAGGGTTTCATATATTGTGGATATTAACCTCTTATCAGATATAACATTTGCAAATTTTTTTCCCGTACCATGGATCATCTTTCCATTTTGTTGATAATTATTTTTGCTGTATGAAAGCTTTTAAGTTTGATGCAGTCCCACTTGTTTATTTTTTATTTTGTTGCCTTTGCTTTAGATGTCATATTCAAAAAGTTGTTGCCAAGACCCACGTCAAGGAACTTTTTTTCTGTTTTTCTCTTAGGAGTTTCATGGTTTCCAGTCTTACGTTTAAGTCTTTAATCCATATCATAAGTTAAATTTTGTGAGTGGTGTAAGATAGAGGTCTAGTTTGATTCTTTTACTTGTGATTATCTAATTTTACCAGCACCCTTTATTGAAGAGATTGTCTTTTCTCCATTGAGTATTCTTGGCACTCTTGCCAAATATTAGTTGACCATACAAGCATGGGTTTATTTCTGGGCTCTCGATTCTGTTCCATGGGTTTATGTGCCCGTTTTTAATACCAGTACGATACTCTTTTCATTACTATAGCTTGAAATCAGGCAGGGTGATGCCTACCACTTTGTGCTTCTTTCTCAGACTTGCTTTGGCTATTCAGGGTCTTTTGTGGTTCCATATAAATTTCAGAACTGTTTTTTCTACTTCTGTAAAAAAAAAAAAAGCCACTTGATAGAGATTGCATTGAATCTATAGATGGCTTTGAGTAGTATGGACATTTTGGCAATATTAATTCCTCCAATTCATGAACATGGATACCTTTCCATTTATTTGTATCTTCTTCAATTTTTCTTCATCAATGTATTGTAGTTTTCAGTGTAGAAATCTTTCACCTCCTTGGTTAAATTTATTCCTAAGTATTTTGTTTTTGATGCTATTGTAAATGGGATTGTTTTCTTTATTTCTTTTCCAGATAATATGTTGTTAGTGTATAGAAATGCTACTGATTTTTGTATGTTGATTTGGGTCCTTTCTTTTTTCCGTGGTTAGTTTAGCTGAAGGGTTGTCGATTTTGTTTGTGTTTTCAAAGAACCAACTCTTAGTTTTGTTAATACTTTCTATTTTTTTTTGTTTGCTTATTTCAATTTCATTTATTTCTGCTCTAATCTTTATTATTTCCTTACCTCTGCCTAATTTGGGCTTAGTTTTTTCTTTTTTTTCTAGATCCTTAAGGTGTAGAGTTAGGTTGTTTATTTGAGATCTTTCTTATTTCTTAATGGAGGCACTTCTTGCTGGGAACTGCCGTCTTAGACTGATTTTGCTGCATCTCATAAATAGTGGTATGTTGTGTTTTCATTTTCTTTTATCTCAAGATACTTTATTTCTCCTTTAATTGCTTCCTTGATTCATTAATTGTCCAGAGAGTGTTGTTTAATTTTCACGTGTTCATGAATTTTGCTTCTATTACTGGTTTTTAGTTTCATACCATTGTGGTCAGAGAAGATACTTGGTATGATTTCAGTCATTCTGAATTTGCTAAGACTTGTTTTGTGGCCTAATATATGGTCTATCCTAGAAAATGTTCCATGTGCTTGAAGAATGCGTGTTTTGCTGTTGTCAGACTGTTCTGTATGTCTATTAGATTCATTTGGTCTATAGTGTATTCAAATTTGCTGTTTTCTTGTTCATTTTCTGTCTAGATGGTATATCCATTGTTGAGAGTGTGATATTAAAGTTCCCAAGTATTATCATACCACTGATTATTTCTCTGTTTAGTTCTGTTAGTTTTTGCTTTATATATTTGGGTGCTCCAATGTTGGGTGCATAAATGTTTACAATTGTTATATCTTCTGGATGGATTGACCCTTTTATCATTATATAGTGACCTTCTTTGTCTCTGTTACCATTTTTAGCTTAAAGTCTGTTTTGTCTGGTATAAGTATAACTACTCCTGCTTTTTTTGTTGTTACTATTTGCTTGAAATATCTTATTCCATCTCTTCTCTCTCAGTCTATGTGTGTCTTTAAAGCCAAAGTGAGTCTCTTGTAGACAGCATATTGTTGGCTCTTACTTTTTATCCATTTAGCCATTCCATGTCTTTTGAATGGAGAATTTAATCTATTTACATTTAAAGTAATTATTGCTAGGTAAGAACTTATTACCATTTGTTACTTGTTTTCTGGCTGTTTTGTAGACCCATCATTCCTTATTTCTTTTCCTGCTGTCTCTTGTGTTTTGACATCTTTTGCCATCAATATGCTTTGACTTCTTTATCATGTTCTTTTGTGTAATTACTATAGGTTTTTCTCTTGAGGTTACCATGAGACTTACATAAAATATCTTAAAATTATAACATCCTATTTTAAACTTACAACAACTTCATAAAATTCCTAAAGTTTACACTTTTACTTCTCCTCCCCCTCACATTTTAAGTTCTTGATGATACAGTTCACATATTTTTTATATTGTATAAACAATAACAGATTACTGTGGTTATGATTATTTTTAGAATGATTGTTGATAACTTTTAAACTAGAATTGTATGTGAATTATGCACCAGCATTACCATATTACAGAATCTAACTTTGACTATATATTTACCATTACCAGTGAGTTGTATGATACCCTTTTATGTTTTTATAATGTTAATTTTTACTTTTAAGTAAAAGTCCTTTATGTTAATTTTTAATTTTAAGTAACAGTCCGTTTACTTCCACTCGAAGAACCCCCTTGAGCATTTCTTACAAGGCAGATCTAGTGGTGAACTCCCTCAGCTTTTGTTTGTTTAGGAAAGTATTTCTCTCTTCTCATTCCTGAAGGATAGCTTTGCCAGGTATAAAATTCTTCATTGATAGCTTTTCTTTCAATATTTTTAATATGTCATTCCATTCTCTCCTAACCTGAATAGTTTATGTTGAGAAATCTGCTGACAGTCTTAGTGAGGTTCCCCTGTTTGTAATTCTCTTTTTTCTTGCTGCCTTCAAAATTCTTTGTCTTTGACTTTTGACAATTTAATTATAATGTGTCTTGGTATGGCCCTATTTGGATTTAAACTGTTTGGGGTATTTTGGGCCTCATGGATCTGGATGTCCATTTCTCTCTCTAGATTTGGGAAGTTTTCTGCCACTATTGCTTTAAATATACTTTCTGTCCCTTTCTCTTTCTCTTCTCATTCTGGAATTCCCATAATGCAGTTGTTGTTTATTTTGATTGTGTCCCATAAGTCCTGTAGGTTTTTTCACTCCTTTTCATTCTTTTCTCTTTTTGCTCCTCTGACTGCATAACTTCAAATGTCTTGTCTCCTAGAATATTGAATTTTTTTCTTCTGCATGGCCAAGTCTGCTTTGAAGCTCTCTACTGAGTTCTTCAGTTCATTCATTGTATTTTTCAGCTCTAGGATTTTTTTTTCGGTTTTTTATGGCTTCCATTTGTACTCATTTTGTTTATACATTTTTCTACTAATTTCATTTAGTTGTCTCTGTTTTTATTTTTCACTAAAATTCTTTAAGAGGGTTATTCTGAATTCTTTGGCAGTCATAGATCTCCATTTCTTTAGGATCAGTTATAGCTTTATTAGTTTCCTTTGGTGGTGTCATGTTTACCTGATTTTTTTTTTTTTTTAATGATCCTTGATTCCTTACATTGGTACATGCACATTTGATGAAGTGGTCTCCTCTTGCAGACTTTACTGGTTTTCTTCGACAGAGAAAGTTCTTCACCAGTCAGCTCACTCTGGGTTCTAGATTTGTCCCCTAATAATATCCTTGGGCAGATGGGGCTTGCTATTAGGATCTATTATTGGTCATGTACAGTGTACAAGTGTACAGTGTCCAAGCTCTGAGTTCAGGGGAGGTGCTGCTGGCTGAGAAGAATTGGATAGGATTGCTGGCTTGGTTCCCTGCCCAAGTGAGGCTGTAGGACAGGCTCTACAGTTGCTTTGGTTCTCTGGTCAGGCTTACTAGATGGTCAGGACTGGGTACTAAGTAGTAGGTGGGGCTATGAATTAGCCTCCCTGCCCTGGCAGGGCAGCAGAAAGGTCCCCAGGGCCCACATGGCTCATTGTTTGGGTACTAAAATCAAGCAAGACCATGCACTGAATTTTCTGGGCAGATGGGGCCACCACTTTTGCTCTGCTGATGAAGAAAGGCATGTTCTGTGCTCTCTGTTCAAGTGCCACTATAAGCAGGGCTGTGGATGGGCTACACAACTTCCTGTGTGCTCTGGTTAGATTTCCTTATCAGGTGGGCTGAATGCTATATTTAGCAATGTGTGGGGCTATGAATTAATCTCCTTGCCTGGGTGGAGAAGAAGAACTGGCTCCAAGGCCAACCAGACTCTTTGCTTGTGGTCTTGACTCAAGCTGACCCATGCCCCAAGTTCCCTGACCAAACAGGGCCACTGGCTTTGTTCTTTGGACAATAAGCTCTGCCTGCCAAACTCTGCTCAAGTGTTGCTGGGCTGCATACCTTCCAGGTGCTCTTGTCACCCTTTCTGGTCAGGTGGGCCAGGAGTTATACTCAGCAGTGAACCAGACTATACCTTGGCTCCTCTGCCTGCATGGGGGCAGGCAAACCTCTTCATTTGAGGACCCAAATCAGGCAGACCTGCACCCCACCGTGTTCCCTGCTCAGACTACACCACCATCTTGGATCTGCAGGTGAGCAATGCTGCTGGTTGTGACCTCTATTTGGATACTGCAGATAGGAACTCTGTCTGCCAAGATCCAAATGCTGGTTGTTGCAAGCCCCTTCCCCTTTTTCCACCATAATCAGATTTCCACTAGTCAAGCCCCACAAATTCCCTTGTAATCCCTGTGGGGCAAGACTGGAGTGAGGGCTCCCAAGAAGAGACTCACAATGCTGGAGGGACTCTGGATGTCCACCCTGGGCTCTCTTTTCCCCCTAGAGGAACTGTAGGCTCAGTGGAGACCTCTCGGTGTGGTGCTGCCCTGGCATTAGGGAGGGGCAATGTGGTCAGCATGTACCCACTCCTCTTAACCTTCTACTGTGGCTGGTCTTGGTCTCTGTTGTGCAGGGATGTGCTTCAGCCTCACCTCCATGTTCTAGGATTTTCTCAGTGGTGTCTTGTCCACGAATAGTTGTTAGTTGTTCTTGAGGGGGAGCAAAGTCAGGAATGACCCATGTTGCCATCTTGGTGATGTCACCCTGGTTTTTATTTGATTATAATTCTCATTTTTCATGTATGTCAATATCTAATCTCCTGATCTTAGGTACAATATTTAAAGTTAGGAACATGCTCTGAGAATGATGCTATTTAGAGACCATGTTAAGTTTTGCAGTAATTGTCAAAAGCTAATAAGGCCTAGACCTTGTTGAGTGTTAAAATAAGGGGAAAAAAATCTGACTTTGTTTTGCAATATTACAGATTGCAAGAGTATGCAAAGTACATAAGCCTTCTTGTGTGAGGAGAAATTGGCAGAGAGACTCTCAGTCAAAAGTCAGAACACTTGTTCCCTTCTCTGGTTTCTCTCTTTCCTCCTCATTTTGCAACTTCCTTGAAAATACTCCCCTGTGGCTGGCTCCATTGTACATTTTCTTCCAGGCCAATTGTATGTTTCTGAAATATAGACATCACAGCTTTTATTTCTTGTTACCCATAACTCCTTAGTGAAAGTCACTTACAACCACAACTGCTGCATAATAGGTGTTGAAAGAACAATCATAAAAATCAGCAAGTGCTTATCACTCTCCTGGAGACGGTGCCATCTTCCAGGAAATTCTTAACACATTCCATATGAATCTATATTCTCTTCAAAATCATGTTTTTGGTGAAAAAATTATCTTTTCAGACCTTGTATGTGCTATGGGCCTTGCTCATAGCAAACATTAATAATGATTTTGGGCATGATTGCAGGCAAAGGGAGTTTAAGAAAAACACTTCCAGAAAGAAGCAGGTTCCCAAACAAGCAAGCTAGCAAAGACGTTCTCCTGAAATCCAAAACAGGTGAAGTTGCCACCCTATCACATTGACACCACAATGACAAAGCATCACAACCCCTTAGCTATATGCCATGATCTGCCACTTTAGTGAGAGAATAGATTTAGTGAAAGCCCTATTTCGGACAATGATTAGATTTTCCACACTTTCCCCTTTATCCCAGAGCTGTTCTCATTGGTCTCCATCTTTCCTCACCTTTGTTCTCTCCTTTTGAAATCTTTGCCTCTATCTACTAGCTTCATGATTGCTTCATTTGCTCTGGTTCTGTTACAGGATATCATCATAAACTACCATTTTTTGAGTGCTCATATATGTGTCTGTCTCTGTGTGCTAAACAAATGATCTAAAAAAAACCGTATTATTTAGCTTCTTTACAAAAGTAAAACATGTAGAATTCATGTAGAGAATTTGGACTTCAGAGATTTTCTTGGTTTGGCACGGTGTTCTTAAAAATTGTCAAATTTTATATAACAATCCATATTCCTGACTTATCTTGAAAAATTGGAAAATTTGGCAACATGAAGTTATCATTTTTGTATGGTAGCAATCAGCTGGAAGTGAATAACAGTTGCCTCCATTGATTGGCTACATACTTTCCAGTATGTCTCAATCCCCACCATTCTCTCTTATATCACCCTCAGCCTATCTGATTTGTTTAAATGTAAGAGCCTTGGACTAGACAAAGCTGCCAAGTAAGGCAGGCACCACAGGAAGGTCCAGCAGCATTTATGACACATCCATTCAAGCTTCTACTATGAAGGGAGGAAAAAAAAGAACATTTATTAGGTATCAAGTATATGCCAAGTGATTCCTGCTATCAGATAGCCCACAGTCTAGAAGGAGAGACAGGCAAGGAAACAAAAGAGCCCAACTACAATAACATACACACTAAGACCCAGGTAAGGAACAGCTTCTTGTTTGCAACCAGCATTCCTCTAGGCAGGCACTGACAGAGTGCTTCCAGCAGCAAGTATAGACTCACCCACGTGAATCTGCATTCAGGACAGAGCTCCAAAAACTAGAGAAGATTGTCACCACAAGGCAGAAATGAGAATTATCTAAATTCTCCATACCTCAATTTTCTCGTCGGTAAATGGGAATAACAATAGCCTCTCACTAGGTTTCTGTGAGAATTAAATGAGTTGATGTATTAGATGAGTTAATGTCAAGCCCTTAGTGTTTGCACATATTATATGGCTTATAAGTGCTAGTTATTATGATTATAATAACTTTTAAGACAAAGTTCTAAGGTAGCAACTTGATTACGGTAGTGATGAGGTGAGGGAGTTGGGGGCTAGGAGACCAACACTTGGTTACAGGGAACATGTGCAGGGCTCGGTGACTGCACCCAGGCAAAAGAGACTATACAGACCTTGCAGCAATAAAGAGCTCCTGGCCCAGGACTCCTAATACCCTTAGAGTATACTTTGCATTTTTGCATGGCTGTCTTCTTTGAAAGCAGGATGGCACATCTTGTTTGATGCTTCGTAGCACCTGCTACAAGTTTGGCTCTTAATAGATATCAATAAATTATTATTGAAAAAAAGTATATGAACAATTGAAGAAACTTGTAACTAGATAGATACCAGAGGCTTGGGAATGGCAGGGGTGAGCCTACAGGTGAGGGTAAAGGGGGGCCCAGCTGGCAGACTGAACAGCTCTATGGGCAAAGAATATATGGTACCAATTTAAACAATTCCTGAGTACTCACAACTTTTGGGCAATTGTATGAACTGTGTATGTTGTTCAGCCATTGGTAAAATCAACTATATATATAGTTTTTTCTTTTTCACACTACCCAAGGTGTTCCTCAGGCTCCCAATCTTTCCTTCCCAAATTAGAGTCTGTTCAGGAAGAGGCTGATTATTTAAATATGAATAAATTTACCATCTGGCAAGGAGGAAACAAACCACTTACAGAAACAAATAGAACAGCAACTTTTGTCTCTTTCTCTTCTCTGTCCTTCTTGTCCCCTTCTTGACTGGCAGAGAGGAGAGGCAGGGCCATCATGTGGCCAAGAGAGACAGAGTGAGGCCTTTTGGACAAACAAATCTGCCTGTCTGGGAACCTGGCCCACTGCTGCTGAAAGGCCAGTTTTCTCAAGATAAATGCTTTTGCCCAACATTGTTGCAACTCTTGTCCAATGCACACTGCCCTATGGCATAAACTCCTCTCCCCTTCTTTGATGCTGCCAACTTCCCCTCAGGAGTCAATAGCCTGTTTACCAGACATGGCATCAGAGACCAAGAAATCCTAAAAGCTGGGGACATGGTCTCTTAGCACAGTCCCTTAGCTTGTTTGCCTTGAAAACCTTTTGTGAGTAATAGGATTAGTTAGCGCCAGTGCCCAACTCTCTACAATCCTCTCATCTTCCAAACTCCCTCCACTATGAGGGAAGAGGGAATTTGGAAGAATTTTCCTAACCAAAAAATTCCCCGAGAAGACTGTTTTCTCCTTCCTATATTCTCTTCAGCTTGAGTAACCCCTGTCATCTTCAATTCTCTGCCTATTTAGGACCAACTTGTGTGCAAGTGAGATTGGCAGCTGCCCAATTATGAGGATTCAAAGGCCCTTGAAATGTTACCTAAGACTCTTTTGCTCCTTACTCAAACTGTGGGTTCTAAGGCATTGGTTCTCCAACTTTAGCACCTATCAGAATTATCTGGAGGGCTTGTTAAAACAGATTGCTGGCAGTGCACAATACCTTCCCATCAAGAGTTTCTAATTCTGTAGGTCTGAGGTGCAACCTAATTTGCATTTCTAATAAGTTGTCAGGTGATACTGATGCCATTGATCTAAGGGCCACACTTTGAGAACCACTACCCTAAGGTATCAACTCAAAATCTAAAAACTTAATCAGTTAGCACTAGAGAAAATACGTGCTGTGTAAAACAGTATAAAGATTTCAAATGAGATCTTCTGGAGGCAAAGATCTATAATTGTATTCAATTATGGAAGAGTATTCAGCTGGGTACTGACTGTGCATGTGTGTAAGGAAACTACCCAAATCTGGAGAAAGAACAACCTGAAAGGATTAGAGGTAGTTGCCTTTGGTTTTCACACAGGGCCAGGAATAATGTCTATTTCTACAAACTAAGGTTGAAAAAGTCATGATTCATAGGGCATTGGGGAAAGTGCATAGAAGAGTCTTGCCCAGTTGTGGGGAATAACTATCCCTAGGCTAAGCACGGCTCCAGGCCCACCTAACAAATCTTAAAAGCGAGAACCAAAAGGACTAAGCTGTTTCCAAGTAACTTAACTGCATCCTAGAACAAAATTAGGAATATTTCAAAGATTACAAAAATATCCAGCACCCAGTAAGGTAAAATTTACAATGTCTGGCATCCAGTAAAAAATTACCAGAATTGTAAAGAAGCAAGAAAATATGACATATAAAGAGAAGAAAATTCAATGAATTAAAACTGTCCCAGGATTGACACAGATGTTAAAATTAGCAGACAGGGACATTAAAGCAGTAATTATAACTGTATTCCATATGGGCAAAACTTTAATTAAAGTCATAGAAGATTTTTTTAAACACTCATTGAACTAGAATTCTAAAGGTAAACTACAATATGTGAGATGAAAAATACATTAGATGGGATTAATGGCAGATTGGACACTGCAGAAGAAAAGATTAGTAAACTTAGAGCAATAGAAACCCTCCAAAATAAAACATAGAAAGGAGAATTATAGAAAAAATGGACAGAACATCAGAAATTGTGGGACAATTTCAGGTGGCCTAATATATAACTGAGCTCCCCAAAAGACAGGAGAAGAACGCAGGGAACTGAAAAAATACTTGAAGAAATAATGAAAAAGTCCCGAATTTGATAAACAATATATTCACAGATTCAAGAAGCTCAAAAAACCCCAAACACGAGAAAAATTAAACAAAAGAAAACCTATATCAAGGCACATTATAAACAAATGCTCAAAAACTGATAAAAACACAATCTTAAAAGCAACCAGAAGGGTAAAAAAGACATGTTATTCCAGAAAGAACAAAGTAAGGATGGCAACAGATTTCTCACACAAAACAAGGCAAACGAGAAGACAGTGGAACAAGAAAAACTGTCAACTGAGAATTCTACACAGTCACGCACCACGTAACTGTTTCAGTCAACAATGAACTGCATATATGATGGTAGACCCATAAGATTAGTACTAGATAGCCTAGTTGTGTAGTAGGCTATACTATCTAGGTTTGCATAAGTACACTTGATGAGGTTTACACAACAACAAAATCACCTAACAACACATTTCTTAGAATGTATTCCTGTTGTTAAGCAATGTATGACTGTGCAGGCCTACCTCGTTTATTGCACTTCGCTTTACTGTGCTTCACAAATATTGTGTCTTTCACAAGACCTTCCACCAGCAAAAAGGTTCTGACTCGCTGAAGGCTCAGATGATGATTAGTATTTTTAAGCCATAAAGTATTTTTTAATTAAGGTATGTACATTGTTTTTTTAAACATAATGCTCTTGTGTCTTAATAGACGACAGCATAGTATAAACATAACTTTTATATGCACTGGGAAACAAAAATTTGTGTGACTTACCGTATTGCAATATTTGCTGTATTGTGGTGGTCTGGAATTGAACCTGCAATATCTCTGAGGTATGGCTGTCCTCAAAAACATCTTTCAAAACTGAAGGTAAAATAAAGACTTTTTCAGACACGGAACAGCTGAGAGAATTCATCACTAGCAGATCCACACTACAAGAAATGTTAAAGGCAGAAGGAAAATGATACCAGACGAAAGCATGGCTCCACGCAATGGAAGGGAGAGCACTGGAAACAGTAACTACGTGGGAAAGTATATAAAAATTTGCAATTGTTATTAAAATTTCTTGAACTTACCAGCCAGCTTTATCTGAGTAACTAGGAATTATCTAGATGAGTTCTTCTTCCTCAATTTCTCACACCAATCCAGAACAAAATAAAGGAGAGAAACAAGAGGCAGAGGAAGACTCATGGGGAGCATAAAACCAGCATGCCTAGACTTCAAATGAAATAGGACAAATTTCGGAATCGAGTTTCCATTAACTTAATAAACAAGGGCCACGTTTAATGATGATATAATGTTATAGCAGTCATTATGCAGTCAGCTTTTACACTTAAGTTGACTTTTAAGGAGCTGACCACTTTCTGGAGGGTTTCAGGTATGCCTTGTTACTCTTCTGGGGAAAATATTTTTTTCTCCTGCTCAGCTTCTTATCTTAGGCTTGTTAACAAATCATCCTTGGGCATGCATATTCTAAAAATCTGATCTCTTCATCATCTACAACCAAATCTACTCTTATAAACAAAAAAAATTATTTGGCTTCTTGTCAAACAACAAACTACAGAAAATCTGGACTTCTTAAATGCAAGATTTTTCATGGAGAAACAAAAGACAAACTCATTCATGAGGATTTTTAAGGGTTTCTTTGGGATCTCCCCCCTCCCCAGAAATAGCCAGAATTGCGTTAACCATTCATTATAATTAGAAACAATCCTAGTCTTCTGGATGCAGGAAATTTCCTCTTTTGGTCTAACTCCTGATTCTTCATAGTTCCTTTCAGACTTGCCCAACCTATCCTGAGTTCTACACATTACAAAATGACAAATCTAAAGGAACTATCCTTTGATAGGCAGTGAAGTGCATTTTTTAAGAACACAGGCTTTGCAGTCAAACAGACCCAAGTAGTCACTATAACCATTTTCTTGCCCAAACAATAACCAACCTCTCAACTTGAGCATATATTTCTTTCCTTTGAGCCTAAACAAGGCCATACTTGATCATATATCTGGCCAGTCAGAATTTAAATCTTTCTATATCATGCCATAAACGACATTGATAGTATGTTCTATTGAGAAGGCAACTTCAGAAACAAAATATTAAAAGTGGATTGAGCCAAATAGTACAGGTGTGTATTATACTCTAAAAGTACAGGGTCAGCATTATTCATAATAGCCAAAAGGTGGAAACAACCCAAGTGTACATCAACAGATGTATTGATAAACGTGGTATATACATATAATGGAATATCATTCAATCTTAGGAAGGAAATTCTGACATATGCTACACCATGGATGAACTTGGGGACATTATGATCAGTGAAATAAGCCAGTCAAAAAAAGACAAATACTGGATGATTCCACCTATGAGGTACTCAGAGTAGTCAAATTCATGAAACAGAAAGTAGAATGGTGGTTGCCAGGGACTGGGGATGGGGAGGAGAATGGGAATTTGTTGTTTAATGGATGTAGTTTCAGTTTTGCAAGATAAAGAGTTCTGGAGACTGGTTGTACAACAATGTGGTTGTACTTAACACTACTGAACTGTATGCTTAAATATGGCTAAGATGGTAAGTTTTATGTTATGTATATTTTACCACAATTTTTAAAAAAGGAATGAAATTCTGATACATGCTACAATATGGACAAAACTTGAAACATAATGCTAAATGAAATAAGCCAGACAAAAGGACAAATATTGTATTATTCCACTCCTATGAGGAACGTATAATAGTCAGATTCATCGAGAAAGAAAGAATACTAATGGATAGCAGTTACCAGGGGCTAGAGGGAGTGTGGAATGAGGAGTTATTATTTAATAGGTACAGAGTTTCTGTTGGATGAGGAATTCCAGAAATAGATAGTGGTGGTTGCACAGCATTGTGAATGTACTTAATGCCACTGAATTGTACACTTGAAAAGAGTGAAAGTGGTTTTATGTTGTGTATATTTTACCACAATAAAATGGGAAACAAGTATACGATCTGAAATTTTTCCGTTTTCTAACAAGGATGCTTATAATAGAGAACATTTAGATGTTATATGTTTTATATCTACTGATTCTTCTTTTCCTTTTAATTTTACATGTTGGTTTGTACACAGGGTTCACATTTAAAAGTTTTATTTATTAAATTCTCAGCCCCGATGTCGATTTTTGCCCTTCCTCAGGAAGTCAATAATAAATTACACCTAACAGCATTTCCCCATTTTCTAATAGCAGCCTAAAAATATATTTGGGACTCTTTCCTAAGATGTGCTTACCTCTGCATATTATTAGCCTGTGCCTATAGAACTTTTTGCTAGAGTGTTTATAGAGGTAGATCCAATGGCAGGAGAAGAACAACCTTCATAAGAAAGATACTTTAGGATATAAGAAGATTCTCATAAGACGACAGTTTGCTAATGAAGTCTTTAGGGTACAAGCACTTTCCATTGAAGTTGAGCAAGAATGTGAGAACAAAGTTAACTCCTTTCCTCTTGGTGAAACAGATATTTGTCCTCTGTGGCTGCAACAGATGGAAGTTGAAGCCTGAGAAAAACTAAAGATGATCAAAACAATCTGCAAACCCTGAGAAGGCAGCTGCTTTCCTGAAGGCAGTTGCCTGCAGAGAGAGACTCTGAGTATCTCATGACCCTCACCACCCAACCAAGTACCACTGAATCCTTCGTAGTTCTAACTGCAATTATAGGTCTTCTAAGCATCAAACTAAAAGTTCATAAAACTGCTATACTATAAGAAAAATACAAGGTATGAAGGAGAAGGAGAACAGAATTTCATGAGTCTTGATGGTCCTCAAAGAGTACAATTCTTTTCTTTACTGGATCATCTAATCAGACCAAATGGATTGGTTACAAGGATGTGTTAAACCTGGCTTCATGACTGTTCGACTTAAAAATCTACCATTGGGAAGCATGGCAGCAGTTAAAGTTTCCTTAGACTCAAAGATTATCTGTATGTCAGGGTTCTGTAAGTTATGAGCCCCTTCCTCTATATGAACCCTCAGTATAGTTTCTGTGGAGTCTAGCTGCCAGTTCTGCAGTATCAGGCCCAGAACTGAACTTCAAAGGTACTATATGAATACCCAGTTGGGTATACAATTTCTCCCTGTAGTTTCTAGCTTATTTCCAGTCATTAAGCATAAACTCCCTGCCATTGCTGACTGGGCTCTTCCTAACTTCACCTCATCTGCATTTCAAACTCACTGTAGCCACCTTCACATTTCTGTTCCTCTAATAAGTCTCCAAGTCTCTATACTTGTTTGTTCTTCCCCCTTTCTTCTCTAGGTTCTCCTATGTAGGTGGTTCAGTCAGCACCCTGCTCAAAAGGCCTTGACCAATCACTGTCAATTTACGCTGTCGTATTGGTGTAAATAAAATACCTGTTGATTGAAATTTTTAAAAATCTACCATTGGGTTATGAAAGGTTGATGTCACTAAATTCAATTTAGGTTCAATTCCTGACTATGGATTGACACATTGGTTAACTCTTAAGGATTATTTTCTCTGGACCTCAATTTTTAAGTTTCTGTAAGGATAGAGATCACTCACTGCTACCAACATCTCATGAGACGGAAAATTTAATGTTAATTTCAATAAAGAATTTTCAACCCATTGAGGGGGAAAACAAAAGACACCTGCTGCGATGTGGGTGATTAATGGAATGCTAGCACTGAGGAAGAGCTTAAACTAGGTCATCTCTCATCCAGCCTTCTGGATTTCACTGAATAGAGATATGAGGCAAAGTCAAGTGCCTTGCCCAGATAAGCAGCCTGGCAGGAAGGTACCTGAACTCAGATCTCCTGATTCCCTGTCTAGCGTTCTTTCCCTACCAGTGGTTCCAAAATGAGTGTGTATGGCAACAAATGTCTATAAATCACTAAAGTGATGTCAAAAATTACAGACTCCTGGGCTCTAGCCAGAATGACATATCTAGTGTTATAATCAGAGAATCCATAATCTTTAGCTCCTCAACACCAAAGAACTCGGATAAGAAGCTAGGTTTCTAACTACTGCCTCCCAACTGCCTGGAATCTGAGTTAGTTGGCCTCATGATGATGATGAGAAAGGAGTCTTCAAAAGAGGAGACTCTGGGGTCCACACATCACAGAGGTGCATAAGATGATCCATTGAGGGGTAGGAAGAAATTTCTATGTGTCTATGTACTTATTTTATGTCTAAAAAAAGAAAGATTTTAAGCATTACTAATACTAACCCAGGGGTGGGCACTGGCAGCACATTAAACAGAGAAAAGTGGAAGATCCCCAATGTAGAAGAGCTGACAGAGCACCCCTCCCCCAAGCATTTGTTTGCTTTCAGTGTATTGAAACAAATTTCTCTTAAGGTTTATCCAGTTAAGTAGATTTGTGAATTATGTATCTACTTCTGTCCAAATTAATCTGGCACAAAATTACAGTTGACTTAAAAAGATTCATACAAGGAAAGTTCAGGTTAAATGTAATACTAAGAAGGCAAGTAAAAGTGAACAAAAACATGGCACAGATAACACTTTTCCTATTCTTAGTATTCTGATGTTATGCATCAGCTATATTATCAGGTAAAAGCATGATTACCAAATAAGATTAAGCAAGTTAGCCAAAAGAAGACAAATTATCGAGAATATCTTTAAATATGAATTGACACACGCTATTATTAATAATAAACAATAACTGCCTAATAAAACATAATTATAAAAATTAATATAATTAAAATAATAAACATAACTCTTTCAATCAGCTTTCCAAATATGAATGGGCAGCCAAGGATTTTCAGACAATTAAGGAATTGCTCTAAAGGGAAACACAGAAACTTAAACGATGAAAAGAAGAACCTTGAAGAAACAGAAACAAAGAAGGAATTAAAACCTTAAAATCTATAACATTCTCAGGGGGATATGAGAAAATTTTACATCCTGAAATAAGAATCTTTAAAAAGGCCCTTTCACACTTTTGGAAATTAAAATATTGTGAAGAAATGAGGTAATATGAAACAACGTATTTTATGAAATATATAATAAAAATATTGTTGAGAAATGAAAACTGCAATATAAATGTTGAAAAGTAAAACTTAAGAAATATTAATAGCTAATATTTATTGAGAATTTACCATGTGCCATGCACTGGTCTAAGTACTTTATAGATATTAACTCATTTAATCCTCACAACAAACCTATGAGATATATACTAATATTATCCCCGTTTTACAGAGGAAGAAACTAAATCTCCAAGAAGGAAAGTGACTTGCCCAAAGTTAGACAGCTACTAACTAGCAGGACTGGGATTAACATTGAGGCAGCTCTTTGTAGAGTCAATGTTCCTAATCTTCATGCTAAGACAAAGACAAAGATCTGGAAAATGGGAGAGGAAAGATTTTTTTTTTTTTTTAATTAAAAGATCAGCCCAGGGCCGGCCCCGTGGCTTAGCGGTTAAGTGCGCGCGCTCTGCTGCTGGCGGCCCGGGTTCGGATCCTGAGCGCGCACCGATGCACTGCTCCTCTGGCCATGCTGAGGCCGCGTCCCACAAACAGCAACTAGAAGGATGTGCAGCTATGACATGTAACTATCTACTGGGGCTTTGAGGGGAAAAATAAATAAAAATAAATAAAATCTTTAAAAAAAAAAAAAAAATCAGCCCAGAAGGTCCAGCATCCAAATAATAGGAGCTCCAGATAGAGAGAACTGTGGGGACAAAGATAAAATCCTAAAAATTCTGAGAAAAAAATATGTCAATTACAAAGACTGATAATCAGAATACATGACTTTCAACATCAACACAAAAGCTAGATGATGTCATAATACCTTCAAAATTCCAAGAGGAAAGTCTAACTTAGAATTCTGTACTCAGCCAAACTCTTAATTAGATGATACAGTAGAATAAAGATATTTTCAGACCTGAAAGGTCTCAAAAAACTTACTACACACACTCTTTCTCAGAAACTTACTGGAAGATGCACTTCAATAGAACAAGGGAGTAAATGATAAGGAAGATACTAGGAACCAGGATTCCTATACAGGAACAAACCAGGAGAAATTCATACAGTAATTGTAAAGCGAGATCCCAGGAGGACAGCAGTTAACAGGTTTAAATAGCAACCAGTTCAGATTGGAGCAGGACAGAGGGCTCTAGGAGGAATATCTTCATTTGAAAATGTTACTAGATTATCTTGTGCGAATGGATTGAGAGGAGATTAACAGACTGGAAGTACGTTTGGTCAGGAATTAATGATAGTACATTGAAAACTAAGCAAATGCAAAAAAGAAGAAAATCATTGACTTCAGGGAAAACAAAAGCTTAAAGGAAAGGAAATGTAATCATTTGTGAATAATATTTACTTGATGATAATAAACAGGGGACATTGACTTAACCTCAAATTGTACTCTGAAAAGCTCTATGAGGGAAGAGATTTTTCACTATTTTGTCTGTCATTGCTTCTTTTCTTGGCAATCACAGGTCAAATGAGGGTGAGGAGAAGCTGGTAAGAGAGCTAAATTCTCACCTTCCGTAGAAGTAGGTATATAACATCTACAACATAAAAAACAGAAGGGAAATTATGCTATTTATAAAAACAAAGGCAAAGATCAGAAGAGACAGTTTAAAAAGTAGAAAGTGGTTGCCGTTGTGGAATGGGAAAATGGAAGGGGAAATAGCAGAGGCTTGCTACTTTTTCCCATTTTATTGAGATATAGTTGGCATAAACACTACAAGTTTAAGATTTACAGCATAATGATTTGACTTACATGTATCGTGAAATGATTACCACAATTAGTTTAGTTAACATCCATAGTCTCATACAGATACAAAAAACAAAAAGATGGTTTTTTTCCTTGTAATGAGAACTGTTAGGATTCACTCTCTTAACAACTTGCATATATACCATAAAGCAGTGTTAACTATAGTCATCATGTTATACATTACATCCCTGGTACTTATTTGTCTTATAACTGGAAGTTTGCACCTCTTGACCAGTTTCACTCAATTCCCTTCCCCACACCCCCCACCCATGGTAACCACAAATCTGATCTCTTTTTCTATGAGTTTTTTTTTTAATTCCACATATAAGTGAGATCACACTGTGTTTGTCTTTCACGGTCTGACTTATTTCACTTAGGATAACGCCGTCAAGGTCCATCCATGTTGTCGCAAATGGCAGGATTTCCTCCTTTTTTATGGCTGAATAATGTTCCATTGTGTATATATACCACAACTTTTTCCATTCATCTGTTGATGGACATTTTAGTTGTTTCCATGTCTTGACTATTATAAATAATGCTGCTATGAACATGGTGGTGCAGATATCTCTTTGACATAGTGTTTTTGTTTCCTTCAGATATATTCCTAGAAGTGGAATTGCAGATCATATGGTAGTTCTATTTTTAATTTTTGAGGAACCTCCATACTGTTTTCCAAAGTGGCTGTACCAATTTACAATCCAACCAAGAGTGCACAATGGTTTTCTTTGTTCCGCATCCTTGTGAGCATTTGTTATTTCTTGTCTTTTTGACACTACCCACTCTAACAGGCGTGAGGTGATATCTCATTGTGGTTTTGATTTGCATTTCCCTTATGATTAGTGATATTGAGCTTCTTTTCATGTAACCATTGACCATTCATATATCTTCTTTGAAAAAGTGTCTATTGTCGATTTTTAAATTAAATTATTTGTTTTTTTGCTATTGAGTTGTATGAGTTCCTTATATATTTTGGATATTAACTCCTTATCAGATATATGGTTTGCAGATATTTTTTCCCATTCCCTAGGCTGTCTTTTCATTTTGTTGATGATTCCCCTTACTGTGCAGAAGCTTTTTAGTTTAATGTAGTCCTGCTTTTTTATTTTTTATTTTGTTGCTTATGCTTTGGGTGTCACATCAAAAAAAAAAATCATTCCCAAGACTCATGACAAAGAGCTTTTTCTGTATGTTTTCTTCTAGGAGTTTTATGGTTTCCAGTCTTACATTTAAGTCTTTAATCCGTTTCAGTTAATTTTTGTGAGTAGCGTGAAATAAGAGTCTAATTTCATTCTTTTACATGTGAATATACAATTTTCCCAGCACAATTTATTGAAGAGACTGTCTTTTCTCTATTGAGTATTTTTGGCTCCCTTGTCAAATATGAATTGACCATATAGGCATGGGTTTATTTCTAGGCTCTCGATTCTGTTCCATTGGTCTATGTGTCTGTTTTTTGGCCAGAACCATAATGTTTCGATTACCGTAGCTTTATCATGTAGCTTGAAATCAGGAAGTGTGATGCCTTCCACTTTGTTCTTCTTTCTCAGGGTTGCTCTGGCTATTCAGGGTCTTTTGTGGCTCCATATAAATTTTAGGATTGTTTTTTCTACTTCCGTAAAAAAAATGCTATTGGAATCTTGATAGGTATTGCAATGAATCTATAGATAGTACGGACATAATAATGTTAATTCTTTCAGTTCATGAACATGGGATACCTTTCCATTTATTTGTCTTCTTTGATTTCTTTTATCAATGTCTTATAGTTTTCATTGTAGAGATTTTTTACTTCCTTCATTAAACTTATTTCTAAGTATTTTGATGCTATTGTAAATGAGATAGTTTTCTTTTTCAGATAACTTATTGTTAGTGTATAAAAACACTACTGATTTTTATACGTACTTTTGTATCCTGCAACTTTACTGACTTAGAGGAAAAGCTTTCAACCTTTCACCATTAAGTATGATGTTAGCTGTGGGCTTCTCTTAAATGGCCTTTATCACATTGAGGTATGTTCCTTCTATACCTAATTTGTTAAAAGTATTTATCATGAACAAATGTTGAATTTTGTCAAACGCTTTTTCTGCATCTACTGAGATGATCATATGATTTTTTTTCTTTCATTCTATTAATGTGATGTCTCTCACTGATTGATTTATATGTTGAGCCATCCTTGCACCCCAGGGATAAATCTCAACTGATCATGGTGAATATGAATAATCATTTTAATGTGCTACAAAATTTGGCTTGCTAACATTCTATTGAGAATTTTTGTATCTATATTCATCAGGGATATTGGCCTGTAGTTCTCTTTTCTTGTGGTGTCCTTTTCTGGCTTTGGTCTCAGGATGATGCTGGCATTGTAAAATGAGTTTGGGGAGTGTGCCCTCCTCTTCAATTTTTTGGAAGAGTTTGAGAAGGATTGGCATTAATTATTCTTTAATAGTTGGTAAAATTCACCAGTGAAGCCATCTGGTTCTGGGCTTTTCTTCATTGGGAGACTTTTCATTACTGATTCAATCTCCTTACTAGTAATTGGCTTGTTCAGATTTTCTAATTCTTCCAGATTCAGTCTTGGTAGGTTGTATGTTTCTAAGAACTTTTTCATTTCTTCTAGGTTGTCGAGTTTGTTGGTGTACAGTTATTCAGAGTAGCCTCTTATGATCCTTTGTATTTCTGTGGTGTCAGTTGTAATGTCTCCTTTTTGATCTATAATTTTGTTGGTTTGAGTCTTCTCTCCTTTTTCCTTGGTTAGTCTAGCTAAAGGTTTGGCAACTTTGTTTGTTTTCAAAGAACCAAATCTTAGTTTTGTTAATCTTTTCTATTCTTTTCCTGTTCCCTATTTCATTTATTTCTGTGCTAATCTTCAGTATTTCCTTACTTCTGCTAACTTTGGGCTCAGTTTGTTCTTCTTTTTCTAGATCCTTAAGACACAGAGTTAGGTTGTTATATTCAAGATCTTTCTTGTTTCTTAATGTAGGCATTTATTGCCATTAACTTCTCTCTTAAATTGCTTTTGCTGCATCCCATAAGTTCTGGTATCTTGTGTTTCCATTTTGTTTTTCTCAAGACATTTTTTTATTTCCACTTTAATTTCTTCTTTGATCCATTTGATTGTTTAGGACAGTCTTGTTTAATTTCCATGTGTTTGTGTGTGTTCCAGTTTTCTTCCTGTTATTGATTTCTAGTTTCATACCATTGTGGTCAGAGAAGATACCTGGTGTGATTTCAATCTTCGTGAATTTGCTAAGAGTTATTTTGTGGCCTAACATATGAACTATGCTAGAAAATGTTTCATGTACACTTGAGAAGAATGTGTATTCTGCTGTTGTTGGATAGAATGTTCTACATATGTCTGTTAGATCCATTTGGTCTATAGTGTAGTTCAAATCTGCTGTTTCCTTATTTATTCTCTGTCTGGATGATTTTTTCATTGTTGAGAGTGTGGTATTAAAGTCCCCAACTATTATTGCTGTTTATTTCTCCTTTAGCTCTGTTAGCTTTTGCTTCATATATTTGGGTGCTCCAATGTTGGATGCATAAGTGTTTACAATTATTTTATCTTCTGGGTGGATTGACCCCTTTATCATTATATAATGACCTTCTTTGTCTCTTTTTGCCATTTTGGTTTATAAAATAAGCCTATTTTTTCTTATAGCTACCTCCGATTTTTTTTTTTGATTGCCATTTGCTTGAAATATCTTTCTCCATCCCTTTACTCTCAGTCTATATGTTTCTTTAAGGCTGAGTGTCTTGTAGGCAGCATATCTTCAGCTCTTGTTATTCCATCCATTCAGCATTCCATGTTTTTTGACTGAAGAATTTAATTCCTTTACTTTGAAAGTAATTGTTGATAGGTAAGGACTTACTATTGCCTTTTTGTTATTGTTTTCTGGCTGTTTTGTAGATCCATCATTCTTTGTTTCTCATCCTGCTGTCTTTTGTTGTATTT